AGGAATCTCAACAAGATGGCAGCGTTAGGAATGTCTGATGGGCTCTCTGTGGTTGAGAGGAACTGTTGCTCCTCTCACAACTTTGCTGGGACTCACCAGCTTTACCACGTACTGGGCTGCAGCGTGGAAGGGAGGCAAAAGGAGGACCAAACTGGACCTGCCGGGGTGCGAAGGCCCCCTGCTATTTTGGTGACAAGCACTCTGACAGCAGAGCTAGGAAATGGTGTCACTTGGGCTGCAGCTCCTGCTAGGAGTGCAGGATCCCCTGCCATCCCCCAGGCTGCCAGCCAGCCTGCAGGGAGGCAGGCAGCATCCAGCCCTCGGATGCAAGGAGCGACAGAGTCTTTAGGGCTGAAAGGAGTCAGAAGATTAGCAGCAAAAGGAGGAGAGCTGGTGTGGTTAAGCATTCCCTGGGAACGATGGAAAGTCAGCGCAGCCTGTTGGCCATCTCGCCGGTGTGTGCCAATCTGAGAGCAAAGCAGGAGTCCAGCAGGTTTTGTCACATGTTGACACCCTTTTGGCTGCAGTCCGGGAGGGCTTTGCTCTGGGGTGGGGAGATGTTGGCACACAGTGGTCCAGGGCAGTGAAATAGGGTGTGCTTTCCTGCACGTTCCTCCCTTCCCCGCCCAGGCTCTTTTGTGTGGTCAACGTTGACCACAAAACCCTGTGGTAGCCCTTAAGCATTAATGGAGAAGGAGCTACGGAGCTTTTCGCACCAATTCCCACCAGTCTATAAACAAGAAAGGAAGCAGAAATATTTAGGGCCTCTCTCCCATTCCCCTGATGCTTGTTCATTACGGATTGTTCTCAGGGACTTGCATGGAGTAAAGCGCCAGAAACAGCAGACCCACAGAAAAGCTGAAGGGCATTTGGGATCTCAGCGGCACTTCTGAAAGCCAGGCTGTGTGTTGTCCTCTTCTGAGTCACACAACAAGCACTGGATCCCCCTCCACCAGGACACACTGAAGCCAAGTCACCTGAGCTGGGGCAGGCAAGTCAGGACAGGTACAGCCAATGCATCCTGATGCGAGCATAGGCTTCAGGAATTGTATATATGGATTTGCATTTGGCAAACCCACCTTCCTGAGCCCTTTGTATTGTACAGTAATTTAGACTGCAGTAATTTAGACTGCAGAGCAAACAGAAAATGCTGCTGTGCTGTTTTAATACTTTCCTGCAATCAAAATGCAAACCCCGGACCATTTGGTCGTGGGTGTGCAGAATGTGCTGGGAATTGAGAAGGAGCGGGGATTCCACATGACATTTTCTCAGTGGACCATCGAACCCTCATCGATGTGGCCCTGTTGCTGGCGACACCTCCAGCTTTTATCTTAAACATTGTTCATGCAGGATGCAAACCACTGGCCAGGAAGGCTCTGGATAATGATGGGTTGCAGTATGGAACGGCCTGATTTATTGCTACATAAAATGTTATCCTTTGGCTGCCGCTACGCATAAAATTTCTAAGCTTTTTCACAACACCGTGAAAAAATAACACTTTCTTTTTCTTTTTTTTTTTAAGTTGTACTAATGCTCACCTCTGAACAATTCGAGCCTTGCCTTAATGTATTTTTTACCTCTGCACAGTCTTATTCCGTTATTTCTACCCTACCTTCCGTCCCCCGTTACATGCAAATAAAAGTTTCCTAAAGGCAAACCCCGTGGAATTCGGAAAACAGGCAAGTTCAGATTGCTTTCAAAACCTTGTTTTGAAAAACTCTTGCTCATTCTGGTGCCTAAAACTGAGACGAGATGTTTTGAAAACTTGGGACCAATCAAGCAAAGCATTGAATAGATAAACACAAAAGCTATTTTTAATTTTTAAACATCCTAAACTTTAAATACTCCACATTTTCCCCTAAAAAATAAATTTAAAAAATCTCTAAGTAGGAGGTACTTAGATCAAAGTGATGCCGTATATGCAACAGTTAAATCTAACTAGTCCCTATGAACTTGTTTTTAAAGGAATACACAATCCACCTCAGCCAGCTGATGGCTTGAGGAGGCAGGATGGCTCCTTCCTCTCCCATCATCCCTGCTTCCCTCTGCCATGCGCAGCACACCAGAATTTAGCTCCTACCCCGGCTCCTGTGGGTCGGTGACTGGATTTTGACAAAAAGGATGGAGGGTGAGACAGGAAGACAAAGGAAGAAGAGCTCCTTTACTCACTAGTTCACGGTGCCGTACCCCTTGGCTTTAGTAAATCCCACGGAAATGGCAACCACCAAGGCGGGGAGCCCTACGGAAATGAAACAAGAGAAAATTGGTCATTTAAGCATATGTGCAGCTCTTCTCTCACTCAGCCGCATAATATACCCCATTCTTCCCAGTGTTATTCTAGCACCATCTGTCCCAGCCTGGGTCTTTGGCAGAGCCTGAATTCAGGACCTTCAGAGCCAAAAGCATGAACCCTTGTTACCTCTGCTAATGAAGTAAATGCCATCAGCTGTAATCAGCTCATATCCTGCTGTGGTCTCAGCAGTTGTGTGGGGACTGACAGTACATGCAGATGCATAAAATATTATTTTATTCTTAGGTACACAGGCTGGCCAGGAATATATAAGGGTGTCTTCTGAAGACGGAATATTCAGCCATAACCCAACTCAAAGAAGCTAGCAAGGAGGAGATTAAGGGCTATGTTTGCTCTTATCACAATGTATGATGAACAACCCAAGTTCAAATCTCGCCCCAAATGAGACAGAAAAGGAAATGGAAACTGAGTTCCCCCTATCCCAAACAGGTCCGCTAAGTGCTGGGCGATGATCTGTAATGGAGCAGCTCCTTCTGAGCAGCAATAGAAAAGAGCATCAGAACATCAGGTCTTTCTGCAAACCAGGATACTTCTTCTCTTGCCAGAGACCAGTTCCCTTTTTGTGTCCAAAAGGGGAATAAACTAAGAGAAACCAGCTGCCCTTGAGAAGACACACTTCATTACGAGTGTTGCAGGGGACGAGCAAGCTAGTCTGTGGCTGGGACACCGCAATGTACGAAGTACAATTTATCTTCAGAGCGTCATGAACTAATGGTGCCAGCACGGGATGTCATTTCAGGTGCATAAGGGGGTGAAGCTACAGCCTTGATCTTCCTGCTAGAAGCTCCCATAAAATTAGAGCGAGGAGTATAAAGAAAACCTGCTGGTTATTGTGCAACCTGCTGATTATTGGCCTAAAACTCATAAAAAGTTCTGAAATTGTTGGGTCCTTGAACACCTAGGCACAATCAGAACCAGCAAAAGACACTACATCTTGCTAATAGTCTTCTGATCCTTCTTATCCCTGCCACGATAAACTGCTCAAGGATCTACGGAGAAGATGATTGGGTACTTTTCTGGTTCACTAGCCCCAGCCCAGCTCTCCCCTTTCCCTAAAGAAATGCCTGGATATCGGCTAGTAACATCTGGTTCTTCAGCTACGGAGGTCTCCATGTGGCTTTTTATAGCCCTCCTCCTTGTGACATGATGAATTAAGCCGTCTCAGTGCTAAAGATGGGCAAATCCCATTAAGAATTAGCAGGATCAGTAGCCAGCTAGGATTAGCACTTCTTGACAAGACCCTAATTCGTGTGCTGTAGAGGTCACGGCAGGTGGCTGCAGAAGACGCTGTAGATCGAAGGGATGTGCAGACACAGCATCCAAACAATAACCCTGCTGGCAAGGTGGTCACTCAGCAATACAAATCATCACAAGATTGACTAATAGTGAAGGTCTGCAGCCAGCTGGGAGGTATAAGGCCAAGTTGGCTGGAATATACAGCATTTGAGAGTTATCGTAAAGGGAAGTGTTTCTCTTCCCATATGAGATTTCCAAACACAGATCACGTTTGATCAGTCCAAAACCAACAGGCAGTCGGTTTAAAAGATGTCTCTTTTTTTTTTCTTTTCTTTTTTTTTTTCTTGATTGACTATTGCTCCTCTTGCTGAGCCTCCTTCACACCTCATCTGGATATATCCTGGGTGATGTATTCACTACGATGCCATCAATATGGCATCCCATGGCAAGCACACCAAGAAACCACATGTGAAAGGACTTTTTCAGGAGTCCTGCTTGATGCAAGAGGCCCTGTGAAAGAGGAAAGTTGGCGGCTAAGACTCCGCCAAAAATAGCAACTTGTTCTTCGCAAAGTGCTTCTCTTAGACGTGATAATTATGCAGAAATACAGACTCAGGGTGTGAACTCGTCAGCTTACAGGGACTGGCTCGTACCGGGCCTGGGTAGGAGCCCCAGCTTGTGCTGAAAATGGATCCGTACAAGCAGTGTTTACTGAAGGTGGTAGCTATGCCATGGTAGTTAAGCCAAAGAGCATCGTCATGAGGGGTACTGTACTCCTCTGTCTTGGGAGAGCTGTCAGTGGTCTAATCACAGTTAGATGCGATTAGATTGGGGAAAAAAAAAAAATCAAACCTTTTAATCTATTTTTTGATTATTTGCAATAAAGTTATTCCTAACTGTTCTGTTCCGTATACTGTGTGTGGTTTGTATCAGCCCTCTAGGCAGTCACTCATGCTACGTAGTCACTGGCAAGGTTTTGGGGGCTTTCTGCAGAAAGAGAATTTTACATTCACAATTCCAAATAAACGCGTCAGAATCCTGTTTCAAAGAGTTTTGTACTGCCAGGTGAGAGGAGAATCAGGTCATATGTTCATCATGTCCCACTAGAAAAGGCTGTTTGCTAATAACTACCAAGAGCCATAACTGTTATGAACAACTGAAGACCCACTCAGAGCCTGAGCTATGGCAGCATTAAAAATCCAGTTGTGGAAACTATGACATGGTTGTAAAAAGACTGACAAAATTATTTCTTCTTTACTGGGGTTAAATGTGATGACTGAATTGCTTGTAGGGAACAGTTTGTCTGTCTGTTCTAAATAATAATAATAATAATAATAATAATAATAATAATAACAACAAAAAAAATCTAATTGCTAAAAAATTTTTTTCTGGAAAGGCAAAGTTTCATACCCAAGAGGAGAACAAAAAACCAAGGAACAAACCTCATTGCTGATGAAAACCACTGCAGCTTCAATGAGCTACAGCTGACAGCAGCTGAGAACTTGGCAAAGGCATCTAGAACAAGGGCTTAGAGAAATGCTAATACGCAAAGGGGGAAAAGGGGGAGAATCAGCCCATGACAAAGTGAATTGTGCTAATTATTTCAGATTATGCTCTTTAAAACATATTTTCGGCCTCTTTCCTCTTAGAAGTGCCATTAATCCCAGCTCTACAGCTGAAGTCTAGCAGGATGCTAAATATCGGAAATTCCCTTGCTGCCTTAATAGGCGAGAGTGTTCTTCATTTCTTGTCCTAACCTATTCCAAATGGTTATTATGCACCATTTATCAGCCAGTGCACCCTACCTCAGAGATGACTACATTTTACTAGCAGTGCAAATTGTGCTTCTACACATGTAGGATGGGTTGTTTTTTTTAATCTGTACAGACTACAAATGGGAATGTCGCTCATCCAAAATTCCCTTGGCTAACACGCCCATCTGTCCCAGCTTTTACAAATCAGAAAAATCCCTTTTTATTACCTAGAAAAGCTATTAGTCTGTTGCATTCAGCATCCCTGATGTTCCTTGAGTCACAGAGTGTTTGTGTATAAACGTATGCATGAATACACACAGGCGCATGCAGCCTGTGCTTTGCAGGTATGTGGCTATGCTCCTGCTACACGCAAACACTGTATTTCAATAACACAATTTATTTTCTATCGTAAGCAAAAGCTAGGAGTGAAAACGTAAAGGGATGCAGGTGCTGGAACGAGGATGGCTCTTGATGTGCCAGAATAAATCACATCAAGGCGCTTCACAAGCATCAGAAATATCTTGCCTGGGGTGAAATGCTAGACTTCAGTAGTAAAACGAGACACTAATACAGCTCAGATGCACAACACTTTCTCTCTCCCTTTCTCTTTTTAGCCTGCTCGTTTTTGAGCAACTTTTTGTTCAGTTGCTCCTTTCAAATTCACTCTTGTTATTGTTCTGAAAGCCCAGGTTATGGGTTTGTGTTTGTTTTCTACTACAGAATGCATCATTTAAGGCTAATAAATTAAACATACGGAAGAGGCAGAGGGAGAAAAATTAGTTACAAGCATCGGTACCAGTCTCATAGTTTATTTGTCTATGAAAGGCCCTGCTGCCATGGAGACGGGATTTCAGAGCTTGCTTCACTCCGGATTGCACATGGAAGGAGACAGCGAGAGAGAGAAAAGGAGAAAGCAAGAAAGAGACCCAAACCCAGGAGAAACCACGCCCAGCACACCCTTTGAAAACTCAACCCCTCTCGACTCATCTATTTTGTGTGACCCTTGGGTGCACTGGGCAGCAGGCAGGACTTATGGCTCTTGCTCATGCTATTTTTAACCACCTCAGCCCTTCTTGACACCCCCGAAAGGGTTGCAAGCACCCTCTGCCAAGCCTTCTGCAGAGCATCGGTCCCTCTTGTAGCCCGGACTCTCTCTGCTCCGCATCCCGGCGGGGGGACAGCGTTTCCCCTCCGCCCCGGGGGAGCTGCTCCGCAGACCCAGGATCCTCACCCCATCCGAGACACAAGAAGCGCTTGCGGATGATGCGGTTCCGTAACCGGCCCGTCACGGCCATGTAGGACTGCCAAGCCTCGGTCAGCACCCAGCAGAAAGAGGAGAGGAAGAAGAAGTGCAAGAAAGCTGCCACCAGCGTGCATATCACCTGGAGAGAGGAGGAAAGGAGGACACGTGAGAGGAGCAGCAGGCGGAGAGAGCAGCATGTAGGAGAGCAGAAGGCGCGGGGAGATGCTTCCAAACCAGGCTCTGGAAAGCAAGGTCATGGAGATCAGTACACGAAAAGACATTTTAGGAGGAGGCAGTCTCCCCGACAAGCTTCGACCTAGCAAAGGACCAAAGCGTTTGCTTCAAATTTAAGTACCGCATGGAAATCGGCTGCTCTTACGCATGAGCTCTAAGATAGACCCATGGTTAACACTTTTGCTGGAGTCTGAGCCCGCGTCCCATTCTGGTGCTTTCTCAGCTTCAGCAAGATATATTTATTTTCCAAATGATCAAAAACATTGCCACGGTCCTTTCGGGGAGGACGGAGCAGTTAGTAATCTGTGCACTAATCTCAGCTCAAAAGGTTTGCAAAGCACCATGTCGCTGGCAGCCGAGCCGTAGAAATGAAATCAGAGGAAGGCAATTTAGACAGTGTCCCTGCCAGGGAAGGATCGCTGAGTGAAAGAGTTAAGCTGTGAGAGCTGGGTGAAACCACGGCTGCCAGAGGCTGGTAAGGACTGCAAACGTGAGAGGTGCGGAGTTGTCCAAGAGCATATAACTACTAGCAGACAGGAAAAAAAAGAAAGAAAAAAAAAAAAAAAGAAACTACATTAGAAGGAATTTCATAATGGTGAGCTCTACTACTCAGTGGGGAAATCTCTCAAGGGAAATACAGGGAGCTTAAGCCATTTAAAATTGAACCGGGGAAAGTACTAGCAAATGCATTATGAAGAACAATCCTGTAGTGCCAGGGAGACGGACTGGAAAGCTGACAAGCTCGTCTTTGTTTTTAACTCAGCGAGGCCAAATCTTTCACTGGTGCAAATTGGTGCCGCTCTGTTTAACTCTGCCAGAGCTGTGCTTAATTTCCACCATCTGCAAGTCGGAAACCATGAATCAATGCACTCAAGAAGAAAATGATGGAAAGAAACTCCAGTGGCTCCCAAGGAGAAGGGAGACCAAACAGACTTTAAAAGTGACTCTGGATGAAAAAAAATGGTTTAAGGCATTCAGGGCAGGGGGAGGGGGAGGTTTATAGTGATGAATTTCTCTGCTTTGAGTTATATCAGGAAATATGGACTTGGGGTTTATGGTCAATGAACCTTCCTCTTTTTTCATCCACCAGCATCTTTTAACACAGAGCTCTCATGCACGGAGTGTCTTTTATCATGCTTTTATCAGATTGCTCTTGATTCATGCACTAGCACAAACCGATGTTATCAGAGGTTGTGAGTAAAAGTAAGACTGTGTGTTCTTTGAGACAGGAACTGTCTTTTTGTTCCATATTTGTATTTGACACCAAAACCCTTGGTATTCTGCCTATAAATGGATTCTGGATGACAGTTCAGTACAAATAACCCAGCACAATATGATAATTTCAAGTAATTTTCACATTTTAAAAGAATCCTAAAAAGGTGGTTGCTATTCATCAGCTTACAGACCTACATAAAACAGTTCCAAACACAGGATGCTTTCTGGAATGTATTTTAAGAGACTGTTATTTTAGAATTTTTTTTTTTGGCTAAGATCAGATTTGACACTGTTCATTTTACCATTTTGATTTTGCTCTGCACCAACACGGTTCTGCCCAGTTCGCCAGCAGTTTGTAAAGGGGAGAGAAAAACTTTGCTTTCCAATTTTACACCAGAGAGATACATTTTACAGTTATTTTTTCTCAGTCAGGTAGTTTTGATAGAAAGGGAAGAGGAAGAGAGGAGGGAAGCACAACAGAAATATGCACATCTCAGTTGGGCCAGTATAAACCCATTGCCTCAACTGAAACCAGGCTGTGGACTTGGCCAGCACATATTTGCTTCTGCTACCTCTGCTGCAAGTTTTTCTTTCCTTGTAAGGAAAAAAAAATCTCCATGAAGGCCTAAGCACAGGGATATGATGTCCCAGGCTGCTGCAGAAAGATCTAGCAGAGCTTGTCAGTCTGTCAAGGCCATTAGCCCTTGTTTTCCATTAAGAGGGGAAATCTGTTTCCTTGCAGCACATAGCCATGCCTTTGAGATACGGCCACTTCATGCAGAATTCATTTCTTTTGTATCACGTTATTGCTGACTGTAATTTTTTAGCCTTTTCCCAGGCCTTTCATCTTCAAAAAGCTTAGCAAATTCAGGTGTGGAGTCTTGCCTTTGAGGTTACACAGATGAAAATCAAGGGAGAATTTGGCTTTTCCAGGGAAACTAATACCGTAGAAATTTTCCCAGAGTAGCTGCAATTATATATCAATCATCAACATTTTAAGACGCTCCATTATCAATAATTGAATGTGAATAAAATCCTAATTTACACTCCTTCCTCTCTTCTCTGTATAGTTTTCTTTCTCTGTTCCCTGCCAGAGACTGTTTACTAGATGGCTGAGCGGAAATCCAAGAATAACCTTTCTATTTATGGTGTTTCATGCATATGTATGTGCAAAGAGCTAATCTGCCTCATGCAGTCGCAGCCGGGAGCTTTGAATCCCCACTAACAGCTCTGATGGTGAACACCCAGAGTAATGTGAGAAAAAGCACGAGGAAGAACCTGGGCTCACAACTGTGCTCTGAAGGGGATGGGAGGGAGTGAAGACATCCACCTCCTGTCCTGGGATGAAGAAGACTAACCAAAGAGGAGGTCCAGCCACAGTTTGCCACGTTGAGCATCCCTCAGTATTTCTTTCTATGGAAAGAAGCTCCTAGCACACACTTGGGGTTGCAGACAACGCGCCTAGGGAAAGCGAGAGCTTAGCTCACCCTTTCTCCACCTCTTGCCCCAAGAAAACCATGTTGGCCATGAAAGAAAGCTCTGCTTTGTGAAGTTAATTTCTGAAGGGCACTTGTTTAATAGGAGCAGAGCTGGCTGGCTGCATCTCTCCACACTTCTCTACACACATCTGACTCAAGCAGCTCTAAAGCTTTCCCTAAAACATAACCTAGCCCTAACCCGAAGGGCCCTCCATAGAAATGAGTCTCTGTGATTCATTAAACCCCAGGGCTTCTCTGCAGAAATGCTTCCAAAAGTGACAGCATGCTCTGGCTGCCAAAGTAGATGCTCGAAAAAACTGGCCGGTCACCAGTTATTGTTAATTAAAAACTAAATTTTGACTTCTGATTGTGACTTTGGCAGCAGGAGTAGCAGAGGACGCTTCTTGACTCACTTTTCTGCTTAGTGGAGTTAGGATGATTGGAGCACTTGGGGAGACGGGAAAATGTACAACAGGAAAATACTAACGACGAGCAGTGATTTGTTATGCCAGACGCCAAGGGATAAACTGAAAGTACTTTAGCTGGAGAAAAGTTATACGGGCAACACATGCCTCTCCAGCTGGGTCTGTAATGTGGGAAGGCATGTACGTGCAAGCAGGGCATGCGGCTTGAAAATCCACGTTACATCTTCCCTTTACTGCTCAAGTCACGCTGTGATCTGCAGTGAGTCCCTTGTGGCCCCCGGCTCTGCAGCGTGCACAGCGCGTCTGGCAACGCTTCCTACCCCCAGAAAAGGTGGGTTTTGTGGCTTTGTTCATTAACATCTGCCAAGCAGTTTAAGCTCAGAGTATAAAAGTTGCTGGAGAAATAAAGCTGAGATGTTGGTGTTTTGTTTTTTTTTTAAGCCTTTTCTCAATCTGTCTTTCTTTGTAATTTTTGGAAAATAAAATGGTTAAAGCCTTGCAAATAACCATGTTTCTTCACTGTGCCATGTGCCAGATACTCTAGGCAGATATTCAAAAATATCACATTGGTTTTAATCAAAGCCCCGAGGATGCTGACAAATTATCAAAGAGAGCGAGAGAGAAAATTGAAATCTGCCATTTAGTCGTGTCTTTGACATGTTGCTAATTAACAGATGGAGAAAAATGAGGAAGCGCTGCCTGAATGGATCATTTCAGTGCTAAATCAGGGGAAAAGCAAACAAACAAACAAAGTCCAACTGATCTCCTACCTTATTCCGGGTCTGGGTCTGTCCAATAAGGATGAGAGCATTGGAGGAGATGATGGATAGGCAGAAGTTGATAAGGATGACAGAGCGCTCTGAGCGAATATACCTGCAGCAAGAGAAGAGGGGGAGGGAGATCCACCCTGTTACAGCTTCATTAAGTTACCTCTGAAAAGCATCAACCAGGTGCAGGTTGCACTGGGCCAGGCTCTACAGAAGGCCACGGTAAGAGATTGCCCATTTCCTGCAGATCTTGTATGTTAAACAGACAAGAACAAGGGCAAAAGGGAGGGGGAAGAGCCTGGGTGTAGTGCTCAGCCCATAGATCTCTCCATCCTCCCCCATCAATGCTGGAGTTATGAGCATGAGTCAACAAACTAGGGGCCAGCCTGCTCCCTAGTCTGAGCCGCTCCTAAAACAGTAGAGTGCTGCAAGTTTTCTTCAGCTCTGCTTACTTGAAAGGGGACTTGAAAAGGAGCTTAGAAGAAAACATACAGGCAACACATGGAAAGATTCCCAAATAAGAAGAGCCACAGGCATGCTGGCAATGAAAGCAGATTACGAATGCATGCACCTTCACAACAAAGTGTTTGTGATTCAGCATTCCCCTTTGTTTAACCTAACAACCCATCCTAAAGTGAGAAGTATGGTTTGTTTGGTTTTTTTTTTTTCCCCAGACTGAGCGGTTTAACACTTCTCAAAACTAGGCCAAATACCTAACTGCAGCTGTGGGTCTGGGACATTAGGGATCCAAGTCAGGAAGCTGTTGCCTTCAGCACCTTGCAGGAGCAAGATATTTGTCATTTCTAATTTGCAATGTGCAGCACAGCACCAACTTGCTGCTGAGATATGTGCACGACAATTAATTCAAACCACTGGCTATGGAGGAAAATTTCATTGAAGGCACTTTTATGTGCCTAATAAAATTAAAAGGGAATTGCAAAAGTGCAAGTCCTCAGGGATTGACTCAGGACCTGACCATACCAACACTCATACACATGAATAATCTCAGTGACTCGGCAAGTGCCCTGCCTGAATACCAGATGAGTGAAGAGTAGATGCTGATGCTTATAGAAATTAGAAACAGATCTATTAATCAACCATCTCATCCCTGGAGGTTAATGCAGGATTATTTCCTGTATTCCAGAACATCAACTATTTATTTTGGGAATTTGATTTAATTAACTAATTTTGGCAAGAGTGAGTTGGTTGTGCTTTGCCTGCAGAGTTTTGAGTTTCTGACTAGGTGGGCAGGACAAGTTTACTGCACGTGTGTGTTCTACCAAGGGTAAATCTCTGCTTTAGACCTACTGAAGGCTGCAAGACTTTGGTTTTAACTTCCTCTGAGTTTTACCTTCAGACAAACATGAACACTGAGGATATGCTTTCCTGGATACAAAAAAAGTCACTGATGCAAAGTAGTCTGAACTTATACTTAGTCTGTTGGAAATCTGGTTTATAGGTAGTTCTCCCTGAAACTCACCCAACCCCAACTCACCCACCAAGAACAGACTACAAAATTTAGGCCTCCAGCTCATCTAGAAACTGGGTTGACTGCCTGCAAAATGAGCCTCTGGTTCCCTTCATGGCCAATCTGATCCCAAATTTCCCCATTTCACTGGGCTCAATACAATGCTGTGCATCACCTGGATCCTGTTCCATTTGTGGCTGGAGGGTACTGAGCCATCAATCTATCTATGCTTTGATTGTGTGAAGTAAAACATCAAGTCTCCAGTCAGCAGCTTCTAGGGGATAGAAAGGGAGATTTGGACTCTGTCCTGGTGGGAATGAGATGTAATAAATCTGTGTAGCAACACTATGATCCAACCGGCATTAGCGTGCACTTTGAAAGTCTCCTCTGGTCAAAAAATGTAAGAAATTAGTTGACCGTAAGTATAGTCTGTATGTCAATGTAAGGGAAGATATTCAGCTGTCTTCAGACTTTTTCCCTCCTTAAACAAGCCTCTCTTTTCTCCATGCTTCCCTTCGTGCACTGAGAGTCCATCCTGTTCCCCAGATCCCTGAACCTCCAAAGAATGAGATGTGGATTGGCAACGTGTAGAATCACAGAATCAGAATAATTTAGGTTGGGGAAAAACCTCTCGAGCTCCCAGTCCAATCCTCTGCCCAAAAAAGGGCTAATTTCAAAGTCAGATCAGGTTTCTCAGGGCCTTGTCCAATCAAGTTTTGAAAATCACCAAGAACAGAAATGCCACCACCTCTCTTGGATGACTTGTTACAGAGCTTAACTGCTCTCAGGGCAAATGTTTATTTTTCTTTATATCCAGCTGGATTTTTTCCTGCTGCAGCTGGTGCCTCTAGACCTTTCACTGTATACCTCTGCAAGTTTTTTGACTTCTCCATGACTCCTCCTTAATAGCCTCCTCTTCTCCAAGCTAACCAAGCCTTGGTCCCTTTGCCTCCTTTTACATCATATTCTCCAGCTCCCTAAGCATCCACTGGACTTGCTCCAATGTGCTGACGTCTCTTGTATTGGGGGAGTCCAACGTTGGGCACACTTTTCCAGATGTGGCCTCAAGACTGTCAAGCAGAAGGGAATAATCAATTCCCTTGACCTGTTGGCTATATTCTTCCCTATATTGCCCAAAATAATGTTGGCCTTCATTGCTGCACGGGTGCACTGCTGATTCATTGCCAAATTGTTGCCCACTAGGACCTGCAGAGCCTCCCCTGTGGAGGCATTACCAAGCCAGTCAGTCCCCAGCCCATCCTGCTCCACACGGTTATTCTGTCCCAGGTGCAGGACTGTGCATTTGACTTTGTTGTACCATTTCTCTAGCCCGCATCTCCAGTTTGCTGAGGTCCTTCTGAATGGCAGTGCTGCTCTCCAGCATATCAGTCACTCCTCCCAACTTGGCATCATCCACGAACCTGCTGAAGGTGCATTTTGTCCCATCGTCCACGTTGTTAAAGAAGACATTAAATTATATTGGCCATAGCATCAACCCCTGTCAGATGCAGCTAGTAACCAGCTCTTGATTAGGCTTCAAACCTTTGGCCATTACCCTTCAAGCCTGCATGAACTCCATCCAACTATTAAGCCACCTTAGAAGCCACCAATCCAGTGCACAGTTCCCTGGTCTGGATACAAACATGTTACGGAAGACTGTGTTAAAGGCCTTGCTAATGTCAAAATATACACCACCTACTTCTCTCCACTGTCCGTGCAACCAGTCATCCCATCACAAAAGGGAAACAGGTGAGTCAGGCACAATCTGCCCTCAATAAATCTGCGCTGTCTATTCCCAGTCGCTTTCTTGTCCATCATTTTGCCTGGAAATAACCTTTACAACTACTTGCTCCTTAATCTTCCCAGGGGTTGTGAGCAGGCTGACCAGCCAGTTGTTTTCTGGATCCTCCTCCTTGCCCTTTTTAAAGATGGGTGTAACATTTGCCTTCTTCCAGTCATCAGGAACCTCCCCAGATGATAGAGAGTGGCTCCACAGTAACACCAGCCACCTCCCGCAACACCCTCGATGCATCCCATTTGATCCCATGGACTAGCAAATGTCCAGCTTACTTAAATGGTCCTCAGCTCTCTCTTCCTTGGCAGTGGGTAGTATTTTCTTCCCCAGATTCTGCCACTAGGTACAGGAACTTGGGTGCCTGGAAGCAAACCTTGCCAGTAGAACAAGGCAATGAAGGCACCGAGTACCTTCACCTTTTCTACTTCCTTCTCCATTAGGCTACTTGCCCCATTCAACACTGGGCCAACACTTTTCTGGGTAATCCTTTGGTGCTGATGTACCTACAGTAACCCTTCTTTATGCCTTGCACATCCCTTACCAGTTTCAAATGCAGCTGACGTCTGACCTTCCTAATTCAATCCCGCATTCCTGGGCAATGCTTCCATAGTCCTCCTTGGTAGCCTGACTTGGCTACCAAATATTTCCTTGTTATGTTTCAGCTCAGTCAGAAGTTCCCTGTTATACTAAGACAGCCTCCTGCCATGCTTGCTTTTTTCCTTCCATTTCCTCTTCTCTGGCGCAGGATGCTCCACAGAAAGAAATCACCATTACTATCCAGACCCTCTGCCCAAAGAAGTCAGGAACTCATATCAGATAGGGAAAAAACACAGAACCTGATGGGTTTTGCCAGAGGACAGATCTCCAGCAAAGGCAGAGCTACTCCAGGGTGCTGCCTCGGTACCCCTTGGCTGACACATGGACTCTGCCTACTTGTCAAAATATGCTGTGCTCAGCCACCAAAGCAGGGGAAAACTCACTGCAAATTTAGGGAACTTCTGCTCTGGCCTGGGTCCTGCAGGAGGTGGGGAAGCCCTGTGCAAACCGAGACAGGTGGAGAAGGTGGAAAAACTCCGCAGTCTGTGCCTCTGTCCCCATTACACTCCCTTCCTCTCCGCAAACTGGTGTGCAAGAA